AGAGATTCATTTCAATGAACTAATAGACATTGAACATGAAACAAGTAGAACCACAAACATTCGTCTTCCAATCTTTACTGCCAAGCAGAAATTCGCAGCAGGATTAAACAACACCTCGCAGTATTCATCGGGCACTTCCAACTCCTGTGATCCATCGCAGGTTTCGCGAAAATCGCGAAAATCGCGAAAATCGCGAAAATCGCGAAATCGCGAAAATCGCGCAAATCGCGAAAATCGCGCAAATCGAATCGCGGACTCTGACACCAGCCTAGTTGAATGTATCTACTTCGTATAATTCGATATGGTGGTTTGGGTGGGCGTGTACCGAATGACGTGCACTTGAAATAATTGTGACTCCACAATATTAAATTTTATGTGACACAGTTTATTATATGTAAAAATATTTTAGTGCGTGCCAAATAAAGTGAAAATGAACACAAATCATTAACAAATCGTTTCAATTTGACTTCTAAGAAGCAAAAGTCCTGAAACTTCATTTCTTCCGATCTATCAACCTATTGAGAACTTCTAACAAGACTGGCCTCAGTGGCGACAACCGCAGAGGTATTTGATCGATGTCGTTTCTCACCTGAAAATTTGCAATAAGACTTATCGAATTAGGTATCTGATCTAACGTCGAATTGGAGATATTGGCAATTTTGATCTTTCGTTCAAAGACATCGTCAATACGGAAACTACCTACTTTTGATTAAACTTCAGCCTTCAGTGTTTTTAAAGCTGCCGACCTATACGATATAATTTGAACGTATGTTTAGTCAAAAGATCGATAGTCGATAGAGTCGATAAAAAAGCGTTGGTATTCGGCCACCACCTGATTGTTGGTCCCCTCTACTGGTGGTTTACCTTTCTACTTGTCAGGAAATCGTGTTCACGCCAAAACTCTGCGCTTAACTTGTAGATTAACACTATTTCGCCTGCTTCGCGTCCTGTTTGAATTTCGACTAAGCGGGTTGTTAACGAGTGTAGCACGATCAGCCCCTCCAACTGGCCAAACACAAGCGCCAGCGCAGTGCGACGGCGGACTATTCATCACATAAAATAATAAAGGATAAAGCATTTGCCGTTGATCAATCCCTTTTGGGATGCGGCACGCATTCTACTTCCATTTGTACATTCGTAGTGGCATTTGAATGCGATGTGGCCTATACAATGACTTGCGGGGGCCAGCCGATGTTCAAGTCAGTTTTTATCCTCCCAGACAAGTCTGGTACCAACTAACCGAAGTCTGGTTCCCGGACGACGCACGACTCAGTATTCGATCTCCGGACCGCGCGCGTAGGCCCCGCCACGTACCACTACACCACTTCCCACCGCATAGAATTCAAGAATTATCTCGAATCCACAACTTTTGATAGTAGCTTTCTACGCCTATTCGCAACCAATATTAATTTTCTTCCACTAAAACGCGAGCTTATTAGAATTCCTAAACTCACCTTCTCCGAGAAATTCCTCTGGAACTTCAGGAACTCATCTTGAATTTTCAGCTTTTCAAAAAGCTCCTTGACTTTTGCGACACTTTCGGGAACAGGCTTGCCATAGTGTTCCTGAAAGGGACGACGCCATGAAATGGTCTTCCACGACAATTGCACGGGTCTCTTCCCGTGCATATTATCATATTCCCCCGAGTGCGCGCAAAATATTCTTCTCTTCACAAAAAGGGCTAGCATTTCGAATCTACAGTGTTCACTGAAGAATATTATTGAATGGCAACCGATCGTTTTTAGATGAGCCCCAAATTCGAATCTCATTTGAAATTGCAGTGGTATTAGGCCTACACTATACGTGGGGCGCAACCAATGTGGAAACTAGTTTCTCGTCCTTCAAAGAAATTTGGTACCAATTAACCCGGTGCAATAGGCAGGATGAGAGATCTGGTAGATGGGGTCGAGAAACGAGGGTTCGACTCTGAAACCAAGAGCAAGCTAATCGACGCACTTGCCACTGCCGAGCATTGTCAGTTAGGAACTGTGGAAAGATCCGTGATCTATTGGTCATGTAGATTATTACAGGTGGAAAAACAGCATTTAAGCCACATTCCGTGATAGAGTAGTTGTGGGTTGCTACGCTTGAAAATAAGTGCGGTTCAGATGGCCCATTAGTGATGGGAAAGAACAAGAAATCTACTAACAAGGGAGGTCTTTCAGGACATGGAGCGCTTTTTCGAAATGGTTTTCTGCATGTTGGGCTCATGCGAGGAACACAGAACCATGATCCATTTTTCCTGAACGCCTCCAGGAATGTCAAAACAGTGGTGAAGAAATGGTCCAGAGTTCGATCCCCGGTGATGACTAATTTTTGCAATATAGTTTGGCGCCCCAGATTGCCGCCAAATGGCGCCATCGTCGAGAATAGATGTCATTGTCGTGTTTTGCGGCAATTTGGAGGCGCCAACATAAATTGCAAAAATTTGTCATCACGGAGGATCGAACTTTGGACCATTTCTTCCCCGTTTTGACATTCCGAGGAAAAATGGACGCGTGGTTCTGTGT